TCTCTGTTACCGATATATATATAGAGCTGTACTGTATACTGCTATCTACATACATACTCATCGACTAAATCCATAGCTATCTTACCCGTCCCATGATCGATTCGGCCCCAAACTAAGGCCGAGTTTAACTGATCTAGCAACAATCTGCGCAAAAGGGCCAAAGGGAAGGAATGAGCGAAAGCGGACCGCTGCTCAGTCGTCATCAGGCATATATGTCCTTTGGGTGAAGTCAGCTCCTATCCTACAGGCCGGCTAGAAGCAGCAGGGAAGCTTGGTTAACTGTAAGCAAAAGGAATGAATGGGGCAGTGCCCCTGTAGTTTTTCTGACGATGGTGGCTTAATTAATGCAGGCTTCTTGATATGTAGATAATGGCTTAGAGGTCGAGGACCGTTACTAGGCCTAGACTGCCATCCTATCACATACTAGTCTCGAGACTACATAGCACTGTCACGTCGCAGTTGTACACGCAAACGGCGATGTATAAATTGCCAGAGAAGAACTTATCTTATTCATCAGAAACACACCTCATTAGTGGTATGGGGGCAAAAGCAAGGTCCCCGAGCTATGAACCGGAAAAACGCCGCCCTTCCAAATCATGCTATGCTTGTAGACGCCGGGGGGGTTTTTTTTTGCTGTAAAAGCTTCTAGGTTACCTCCTTTCTAGTTAGACACTCGTGAAGCATTTGTGTCTTCACACACACAGCCTGTAACTCGCGTACCGACCAGCCGTCTCACTCTTTCGGATGATCTTGACGACCTGGCCACGCTTCATGCCGAAGTAGCGGGCGACGGGATCCTTCTGCAGGATACGGGGCAGCTGGGTTTCCTTAAGGCGGTAGCGCTTGAGCAGGGCGACCTTCTCGTCCCGACTAAGGACGACGTGGCGCGGGACGAGCTCGTGCTGGGTTATGTTGATGAGCAGATCCTCCTCGAGGAACCACTCGATGGAGGTCCACTGGGCGAACTTGGCGATCTCCTTCTTGGCGGAAGCGGAGACGGCGACATGGGAGACGAGGATGCCGGTCTTGTGGTGCTCGTGGGAGCAGAAGCGGCCGAACTTGCGCATCTGCTCGGCTCCCAGGTTGTCCTCGTCGAGGAACTCGACCCAGATGGTGCCAACGTCGGCTTGAGGATCGGGATTCTGCGGCGTAGCGGGCGGGGTGAGTTTCTTGATCATCTCGGGACTTGGTCGCGCCGAGAACTTCAATTTGGTGCGGCTAGGTAGATAGGCAAGGAAATTAGTTGATTATTCTGTCAGGATAGTTTAATTGGTTTATAAGAGGAAAACAGGAAGACAAGAAGAAAAAATAGAGACATACTACACGGCTCCATCGTTCTGACAGTACTCGCTTCTGAATTTGTCTAGAGAGATCTTGACTTCGCTCTCAGCCAACTCGTAGCCCTGGCAGCGTATTATTATTAGCCTTGTATGCACCGGATTATATATAGATCTTTGGGCACCGAGGTAAAGAAGGAGAAAGAGACGGTGGAGGCTTACTCGGTCCTGGACCATCTCGTGGACGGTTCGCCATGCTCGCCAGGTCTTGACGACGAGCTTCTCGTTGGCTTCGTTGTTGGCTTGTTCTTGATCGGCCATTGTGGTAGCTATGCGCCCTTACCAGGCGTACGGTTGAATGGGGTATTCTGATGATGCGCTCTCGTGAATGGTTTGTCGCGGATGCGCGTGGGGTTTTTTTAGTTATAGAATGGGTGTGGTGGTTGGTTGAAGGAAATGAATTAGGTACCTATCTGGTTGGATGAAAGAAAGAACAAAAAAGAAGCCGCAGGTTCAGCCTTGCCTCGGAAGATACGATGAAAAATTCCAAGGTACCTCGTACCTGTTTCTTTATCTGCAGGGATCATACACTGTACAGTGTACACTGTACAGTACGCGAGCCCCACTTGGTATAAGCCGCCAATTCTAAGCAAGTTGCTGACGGTAGAAGTTCGGTGCCCAGTGCACAGTGCACGAGCCGAACAGAAGAAGAAGAAAAAATATTGGTCGGTGAATTGGAGACAATAGTATTGTCAAAGTTCACCTTACCTTTTCACTTCAATTCTTTAACCACCTGCACTGCTAGTAGTGGACCTCGACTCCAAATTTTCCCTCCGCTGAACCTGGCAGGCGAGAAGGACCCTGAGATCTGGCCTCCTTTCCCTTCGTCTTTGGGTTCGCTAATCGTTGCTTCCCTACCTACCCATACATACCTCACCTTTTTTTCCCTTTTCTTTCCTACCTAGGTATTTTCTACCTTAATACCTACCTTCCTTACCTAAGGTAGATGATATTGATTGAGGCTTCATCTTCTCTCTCTCTTCTTTTATCAATTGCCGCATTTCTTCCCTCCATTCTCTTCTATTCCGAAGCATTCTCGATATAACCTACGTTACTATTCATTCAAAATCATGGCTGAAGTAGCGGCAGCACCTGCTACCGCCCCGGCGGGTGAGAAGAAGAGGCCCGAGAAGCCCGATGTCGACCTCTTCAATGAGCAATTGGCAAAGGCCGAGAAGGAATACCAGGAATCCTTTGCTAGATACGTAAGCTGCGCACTCACCATGATTCAAATATCACACACACATATATATATATATATATACATACACATACATACAGTTCTTCGGGCCTAACGAAAATACAACATAGAATGCTGTTAAGCAAAAGGTCGAACTTGTCGTAGGAGGCAAGAACAAGGAAGCTCAGACGCCCACCCAGAAGCGCCGGCAGGAACTCATCGCCCAAGCCAACGAGATCCGCAACAAGCAAGGCGCCGGCAAAAACAGTCGCAATACCAAGATGGATCAGATTAAACGCCTCGACGAGCAGTTGCGCTCCCGAATCGCTGAACAGAAGAACGCGCGCGGCAAGGTGAACTTCAAGAGTGTCGAGGACCTCGATCGCGAGATCGAGCACCTCGACAAGCAGGTTAACAGCGGCATGATGAAGTTAGTAGACGAGAAGAAGGCCCTGGCCGAGATCTCCAACCTTCGCAAGCAGCGCAAGAACTTCGCCCAATTCGACACTTCGCAAAAGGGCATCGACGAGCTGAAAGCCAAGATCAAGGAGATCAAGGACAGTATGGACGACCCCGAAGCCCGTGCCCTCAGCGAACAGTACACCAAGATTCAGACCGAACTCGACAGCATCAAGGCCGAGCAAGACGAGGCCTTCAAAAACCTGAACGTTCTGCGCGACGAGCGAACCAAACTCCAGGCCGAGCAGCAGGAAAAGTTCCAGGCCGTGCGCAAACTCAAAGACGAGTACTACGGTGCGAAGAAGGCATTCGCCGAGTACGAGCGTGAGGCCCGCCAGCGAGCCCGTGAACGCCAGCGAGCAGAACGAGACCGCATCGAGAAGGAGCGCAAAAAAGACCGCGCCCAGAAGCTGCTCCACGAGGCTAGCGACCCCGCCTACCTCGAGGAGATCCGGAGAGCAAATAGCTTACTAAACTATTTCGACCCGTCATCTACGTCTACCGAGAAGGCACCTCTGATGGCCGACAGCGGTCTGAGCGCCCAAGCTTCGCGCAAGGTCGACGACTCTGACCTCAAGGGCACTAGACTGGTACGAAAGGAAGATCGCGAAGACGACTACCTACCGGCGGTGAAGAAGGGTAAGAAGGGAAAGAAGGCCGTCGCCGTCGAGAAGGGATTCAACGTACCGCCCTCTGTCATCGACGACTGCACGTTCATGGGAATTGATCCTCCAATGAGCTCCGCCGATATTCCCGCTGCTGTTGAGAAGGTCAAGGCCAAGTTGGAACATTGGAAGTCTGACCAGCAGGCCCAGACCCAACGAGTAAGTGGTTGCCTTTGAAATCCTATATCTTTGGGCCTATCATTGTTAACCCTTTTTTTTTCTTCTTCTTTTCTAGAACGTTGAGAAGGCCAAGAAGGAAATCGAGAAGATTGAAGCCGAGGAGGCTGCCGACGCTGCTGGTGGCGCAACCCCTAACGGCGTCAACGGTGACAAAAAGTCGGATGACAAAGTAGCAGCCGTGACATCGGATCTCCAGGAGGCATCCATAGAGGAGAAGGCAGAATGAGAGCTCTCACGATGTCCCTCAACGTCACCTTGGTGTAAAGGCTGACGGAAGACCGGGGGTAGATAATTAGACGAGCCTTAACCCCTAAAGAGAAAGGTGGAACCCCTTCTCGGAGGAATGGGCGACGAGGGTATCTAAGGTCCAGAATTCCACATGTTCGCGTCACGTGTATTTGATATTACGGCCCCTACCTGTTGCCCGCATCTCCTTTCTCGTGTTCTCCTCTCCCTCCGCCCATGTACGGATGGTATGGCCCGGCTAGATTATGTCCACGACAGCCTGACCTCTGACATGATTATATAGCATGATAGGTTAAGGTTACCAAAAAAGAGCAGTGGTTGTTATTACTATTATTATCATTGTTGTTGCTGTTTAAGAAGAAGAAGAAGAAGGTAAGTTCGGCGACAAGAACCGAACTCGATCGTACGCACATACGCGTGTGCTGTGTTGTCCCCCCTTACGTGATCTGTTGCTCTGCATTTTCGGTATAGACAGGCCGGCTGATTCGTCCACTCCTCTCGCCTTCCCGCAAATCCACCGATGGATGGTTTAATGACTTAGACATGCATAGATTGGCCGCTTCGGAAGATTGGGCGTGGTTTCAGTCCCGTCTTGTCCCGCAGACGCGCAGATCTCGTTTCTGTTGATCGGTTCCAACCGTGATAGAAGCTGGCTGGCTGCTTTACTTGCGCCCGGCTGTGGCCATACATATGTATGCATACGCAGTTGGTGGTTGATTCATTGATCTAATAAGCCAAGCTACTTATATACATACACGTTGCTTACGAGCTAGTTCATCTTCGTCTACCTACCTGCCCGTGCTCGTAATGCCTTCCACACATAATATAGTTGATGAGAGTAAAAGTACGAATTAGATGTATACCAAGGGCGTTTGGTGGTGTGCGACGGATCTAGCAAGGACGAGGAGAAGGGGAAAAATATTTTTTTGAGAACGACGCCTGCAGGACTCGAACCTGCGCTCCCGAAGGAAATGCCTTTCACTATGGAAGTGTCGCATCACAATGGAAACAGTGTACACAACTTAAGGTTCCGCTGCCGGCAGAGGCAGGACTACTTGGTTGAACAGCTGTGCATGTGTGAGTCTGCACCTACTACACATAGGTTGTTAGTACTGTATTGTGCGCACTGCCCGACAAGAGTTGAAAGGGTAAGATGACTTACGCAGGGCACCGCGTTAACCACTCCGCCAAAGCGCCAATGCGTTGTAGATGACTGACAGATAAGTTCATCTTATATAGCCCCCGTCTTTTGATAGGACCATGACTTCAGTAGCTTGTCATATCTCAAGTTATGTTGCTAACAACCGTTGCGTACATGTAGGCATGTACCTACCCGGCCTGCTCTCTTAGTTGTCCGTTTGCTTATTTATTATGAAATATTTCTCTTTTTTATTTTGTAAATTCACATGCCTATGTACCTAGGTAGGTACATAGTATAGAGGCGTACATGTAGTTAATTATCTTACGTAGGTACCTACCTATGCATAATGTCACAGCACGACCAACCAGTCTGGGCAGCTATATGCGCAACATAGGTTTATCATTACCACTTCCCGCCTATGAAAGAGCCGAGCCCGAGCCGCATATCATCACATTTAAAACTTACCCAGTTCCTATCGGATACGTGTCAGCCGCATTGCCATAGGTAGCCGGATTGGACCCGTGACTGAGTGGAAAGCTACAGTAGCCCCCTCTCGTTGCCGTGCTCAGTGCTGGGCTAGATGACGAACAACACATCTCCCAACCTAACCAGATATAGGAAATCAAGTGCTTCTCGTAGATAGAATTATGAGCAATCAAATGCCAACATTTTGGGGCGTAAATATTGTAAATTTGGTGTAGATTGGCTAACTCGCTCTTCTGATAGATAACAGGTATTCTTCGTCGTAACTCCGCTCTCGCAAACCGTCCCTATGTACCTGAGTAGGCATGGACAAACATTGAAGGGAACTAGTTAAAACATCACAAAAATTGCCAGACCTTGCCCTGCTCATCCAAACCATGTCCCAAGCACTCCGTACGCCCACTAAGCTCCCGGGAAATTGCCACCCGTCTTAGATGACTCCATGTTCAAAGTAAGCCCAGTTCTTCAGGTAGAAAATAAGATGAAAACTGTTGACCGAATATCGTCGGAACAAAAAAAAAAAAAAGGGAAAAAAAGGAAGAGCAGTGTCTCGCCGCTATGCAGAAAGGAAATGGTATCTGGGACGTTTTCCTCCCCACCAATGCAATAGATACAGAGATCATAGTGCGCTTTCGTGGCCTCGTGAATAGATTCGTTTTGTCTTTCGAATTAATGTAAAGGGGAAAAGGATGTGCTGTGATCCAATTGTACAAGTATCACGAATGGGCCGCGGGCGGGTGGCCCAGACGTAACGCCGTCGTAGCCATCGTTTTGGCTAATAACTGGGGGAAGATTCAGACCTTCTCTTTCCAACTGCTGACCAAGTCAGTAATTGTGACCATGTCAGTAGTTGAAATAAGTGGTCGGTGGAGGTGCAGTTGGGGGCCGGTAGCTATGTCTTCGTGATCCCGGCGGTGGTGCGAGTGGGTTGACGACCGGTCCTGGTGTTCTCCGGTCGATGGTTGGTGGCGGGGGTGTTCTTCTCGAGAGAGGATTCCGCTCTCTCTCGTGGAAAGGCTCACCTGCCAGTGTAGCCGCCGATGTTCCCCGTCTGCTGGCCTTCCGTGACCCGCTCAGGGCACTCAACGGAGGGTCCTTGACGGCGGGCTCATCGTCCGGCGGGAGCGTCAGCTCGACCAGGCTGTAGAAATACTCGAGCACCTCTGGATACCGCTGCACGCTAGATTGCCAGTCTTCGTCGATTCCTCGTTTCAGAGTGGCTTGAGCGGCGGCAATCTCGTTCGGATGCGGAGGGGCATGGTAGTAGTGATAGGCATGAGCTGTCAAACGTTCCAGGTGGGACGAGTGTGCAGCCTTCCGCCGCTCGGTGAGCAGGCGAAAATACTCGAGTATGTAGTCTTGAGCATGTGCTCGGACCCACGAACTATGGTCTACGTTTAGTAGGTTGTCGTACATAGGTCGAGGCAGGAAACAAGCCTCTCTAGGAGTCACTTGATAGCAACAGTGGTAGTGGGATGATACGAGGTTTTTTTTATGAGATAAAATAAAAAGGGGATGGAAAAAAAAAGAACTTACCGTATGTCGTTATAGACCGACTGCATCATACGTGCCTCGGCTTGCTCAACGGCGATCTCGAGGCCTTTTGCCTCGCAATCGCAGGCAAGGCTGGCAGGAGCATGACAGATAGCACAGTCCGGGTCCATTCTGATGACGGACTTGCGGGGTTTCTGTTCCCTGGTATACATCTTAGCGGCGTGAAGCCGATGGTGGCGGGCAGGAGAGCCGGGATGTGGGAAGTGGTGAACATGGGCGGAGGGAGGAGTATAGATGGATGGAGATAGATGGGTGGGTGGATGGATGAACTATTGTACAACGCTTGTTCACTTGACGACCCGAAAAGGGTCCATGGCAAGAGGGAAGTAAGAGGAAGAAAGGGCAGGACCAGGACAAACCACGGGAGAGGGTGACTGACCTGTATTATGAACTATCGAACAGCGAAGAAACAACACAGCAAAGTGCAATGCAATGGGTAGAGTCGCAGCAAGACAACGTGGGAGCAAGAGGGGGAATTGGTCGATAGTTCAAAGCAGTTCAATGGCTAGCTCTGTAAGTTGGCCTGCAGGGAGCCAAAGGCTGACCGCCCTGTTGTATGTCGAGTTGCCGCGATAGTCAATTGAGTGCAGCAAATGAGGAGGACGGTAGAGAGCTTGCGTTTCCGATGTCACCGATATGGTGGACGTGCAAGATAGGTACCGCTTGAATGGAGAGCGTGGGGAACGCAACGCGGAGAGCGAGGAAAATGCTAAGAAACGCGCGACGGGAGAGGGCAAAAAGGAAGAGAAGTCCGACTTGGTGGATCGACGCCCCCCCTACGCAGATAGCGTGATAGTTGCGAGGTTGAGAGGCTGGCAAGCTTCGTTACGGAGAGCCGAGCCTGCAGCACCGCGCGATAGAGAGAGAGAAGAGCCCACAAAAAAGGCCAATTGATGACGGGGAAAGACGAAGAGTAAAGGGACGGGATGCTACAAAGTGCCACCTTGCCCAGCGGAGCCCAAAGACTAGGAAAGGAAGCACAGGGAAGCTCGATGAGGGGGAGAGAATAATTGTCCACGTTTGGCCAGAGAGAAGGAAATTTAGCTGTCGTGGCTCGAATAGACGGCAGGATTACTAGTAGCATGCAGTGTGCATGAGGGTAACCCAATCGAGAATTTGCATAATCCGGCCGGTCTGCTGTTGCTGCACGAGCCAGTAATCTGTAAGAGTTTCGATGTGTTGGAGAGTTTTGTAGGTAAGGTAATGTACATACAAAAAGATGAAGTGTTCCCTCGAGATGAAATAGAAAAACATGAGGGGACAAAGGACAGGGAAGAGAGAGAGAAACTTTTCTCTTTCCGAGACAGACCTCTCGTAAGAAGAAGAAAAAAATGGAATAAAAAAGGAGCTTGAGCTTCACTGGAAGCGCTTGTTTGTTTTGCTTGCTTTGCCCGGTCTCGTTGGTTCGGCATCCAACGTGACATGACAGCGTCAAATACAAAAGGGGGAGAGGGCCCGCCTATGCGCATCTCGAACACATCTTTTTTTGAGGCTCCGAGATGGCTGGATGGCCATTTGTCTGCCAAGATCCAGAGCCCACAGGTTGCAAGGACCCCAACTTGTGCAACATATGGCGTCTTGTTAATAACCCCTCGCTCCTCTCGTAACCTTCACCGCCTTCTGCGACCGCCTTTCGGCGGCTCTAGCGGCTCTTGAGACCTTGACGAGCCGGTCATTGGCGCCTACGAATCCAGTGGATAGTGGATTCTTTTGAAGACAACGGACCCGACACTCAGTATAGCCGCAGCCCAGGTAGTTGAAATCACTCCTACATATATTAAGGTATGCTCACTCGCATCGATTGGGTATGTTGAAGTCGTGAATTTTCCTATATATTTTTTGTGTGTCCGTGTATTATGTGAGGTTGGGACCCGCGGGGCCGTCCCGCCTTTGTACAAGGTACCTTGTTCCGGGAAAGATGTCCCGAATCTCATGTGACCTGCCCTTTAGCCGAAGCCGGGGGTTCCCGGCACCTGCATACAGGTACGTATGTACATACCTTACTGCATGTACGAGCGACACCAGTGTTATCTTATCGAGATACTTGACTTCGCAAAAAAAATTAAAAAATTAAAAATAATTTAACAACCAATTGCTCGTTCTATTGGCCATCGAAGGGATCATCCAACCAAAGAAGCTCTGCCGAATCCATGAGAGAAGCTTAATACCTTCTTATATCATGAACTCGGTATAAGTTGAGCTGATACCTAATATGCCTCCTAGATGCTCCCCGGGCATATTCCTACCCTTTCTTTATCCGACTCTTTTTCGATCGTCTCCCCTCATAAGTTGCCGAGCAGGTATCACGACTCTGCACTCGAGTTCGCCAACCCCGAGTGGGAGTAGCACCGAGCCCTCGTCCTCCAGCGATGCGCTCCCGTACTCGCGCCTCAACCCGCCGCCGGACGACTATGCAATCTCCACCTTCACCGACAAGGCCCGCGTCACGGTGCACGCGGGCAGCGGCGGACATGGCTGTATTTCTTTTTTAAGGGAGGCCTTCCTGCCCAACGGTCCCGCGAATGGCGGCGACGGCGGTCACGGTGGAAACGTCTATATCCAAGCAGTTCACGGTGAGACTTCGTTGCACAAGCTAGCGCGGCGGCGTATATTGCGTGCTGGACGCGGAAAGACCGGGCAGGGGAGCAGTCGCGGCGGTGCGCGGGGCGAAGATGTCGTCATTCAGGTGCCAGTGGGAACGGTGGTTAGGGAATTAGATCGGGTAGACCCCGTGGTTGAGGAAAATTTGCGGTACCGAGAAGCCCGGGAAAAGGAGCACGAGTACGATAGGTTGATTAAAGAGGCGGAAGCTGCGGTTGCAGAATCCGGTGGCGTAGAGGACGCAATCCGTTCAGATATGCCCGAGCCCCCCGAGCATCCGAATCTCCATAAGTTCCTCCTGTATCCGGGCATATCGAATAGCGAAAGGCGCAGCATAACCCTTCCGCGGCTGCCTAGGCGGGAACGACTTTACGTACAACCAGAAGCCCCAATTCACTTGGACCTCTCCCAACCGACG